TCATGGAAATTTGCCTGCACTACAGGGTGCGACCCTGTGTCATTCCATGGCATTTCTCTCTGTTTCTAGGCCGTCCTCGCTATTGTGGATGCTTGAGGCCCGGGCTTGGTGTTTCCTCATCGGAAATGCTGCTGACGCATTCGTCCACATTTGCATCCTCGCTGGGTGTCCAGTTTCAACGTTTGTGGCAACCAGTAACCAGAGTCGGTGTCCGCGTTTTTATGCCAAATGGATCAATCCCAAAGTTGGTCAAGTCGTTTCTCTTCAGAAGTTGTTTAAACAGGTCCGGCTTCTGATACATTCCCGGTATCAGCCTCTCAAACATCGAAAATGGTGGCATGATGTGACTTGGACCATGTCACAAAGAAAGATCACTGTCAAAAGAGATCTGAGCCTAGAGCGCAAAAAAAAGAAGTGCTGCTGTTTGAGGTTTTGTGTCGCGGACCTCTGTTGTTGATAAAGCCTCAAGTGATGGTTTGCCACGTGGCCATCGTGAGGCATATTGAATAGTACTGACTGTCTGGACCATGCGCCATGTACGTACATTGACATACATCGTGTGTCTCCAACAGTCCAACACCACAAAATACCACCCTGTTACAGGCATCATCATCATCTGAAAGACTGCCTATATTATGTGCCGTGTCAGTGTGGGCCAAGCTCAAAGATTTACTGGCCTCCTGCAAGTCTACCACCCTCGTCGATCGATTCTGGCTGCCTGCAATTCACCTTAACATCCTTGGTTGGTTGGTTGGTTGGTTGTCCAAGACTATCAAATAGTGATCAAGATCTGTGACAATTTCAGCAAAGACCTGGATGGAGGTTCCCAAATCTTCTTCGCCTTCACCAGAGTGGCAAAGCCGAAGCAAGTTGCCCGACTCAAGAAACCCATCTGTGTCTTCAAACCCTTCCAAAAAGGACTTCCCTAGGGATGTTTAATGTGAAAGACCCAGCAAACCAAGTCGAGTTCTCCTTGTCAAGTTCTCCAGTCCCCTGAGTACTTCCAAGCAGGCGCTCATGGCACAGCCTTTCCGTTTAATATAAACCTCACCTCCAAACTGTTCTTTTCTGCGTTCGCTTACTGCGTCCACGTTCGCAACGCATCCACCACGCAACTCACCTCTGAAGCTGTTGAAGCTGTAGGCGACACGTTGCCTGCCGGCTCATGAGCTGATGGATTGTCAATCTTGCTCTCCATCAGAGGGCGGCTGATATAATCGCTGATATATATATATATTCATATATTTATATATTCAACTAGATTTATATACTCATGACTTTTCATGACTTGTAATCAGTTAAGACTTCCGTCTCTCAAGTAACAGGCGAACAGTTCCTGTAAACAGGCGAGGTCCTGCCGGAAAACTCCGGCGGTCGCCGGGGACGTTCCACACCGTGGAGAAGAAAGGTGACGACTCTTTCCGATCACAGCTGGAGAGGTGATCCATGGGGCTAAATCAATATGATCCATGGGGGTACTGGGGGTATTTTTGTCCATGCGTTTTTCCGTAAGATCGTTTCTTCAAAAGGGGTACTGGATGCGGTTCCGAGAGCATTGGAGTATATTGGAGTATTTATTCCATAGGATGGTGCCCATCAACCTAATGGAATCTGTGTGAATCTGTGAATGGCTGCTTGCGTGCCATTGGTGCTGTTCATGAATGCGAGAAGGGATTCGCAGAAGGATTTCGAGTTGGCGAGTGTTGAGCTCTGAGGTGCATGTGTGAAAGGTGGCATGTCCTCTCTTGGCCGTTGGGACAGTCACAGTAGGCAGCTCCGAAGTTCTTGTGCCGTTGGATTTGACCGACCCTTTGAGAAATCATGTCGGGAGGTGTGAGGCGAACTTGGCGGTTTGGCTTGGATGCTGCTCAGTTAGACACGAAAAAGAACAGGTGAACACCATGAAGAAAGCTTTGGTACAAGGTCGAACACATTCCCAAGGACAATTCCTTGAGCTTCACTACAATTGGTGCTCCTGGATTCTTTTTGTTCAGAAGTTGATGAATTCTCAAGTGTCTGCGCGACGGCCAAGGATGAACGCACTTGAGTCACTTGAGATACACAGGATTACCATGATGAGAACATGGTTGACATTGACACTAACCTCCTGCATGAGAAAACATGCTTCCTTGTGCATGAGCCAGGGACCACAGAGTCATTTTTCACTTCTAGCCTTGTTCCGTGTCGGATGAGACCAGCGGAAAAGGTCACTGGTAATGTGCTGAACCCCACCACAGAGTTCGTTGTAGAGCTTACAGTACATCTCTCATCAACTCTCCTGTTGGCCAGTGTCATCCTGTTTCCTAATTGGCCAGATCCAACTTCCGGATCTTTGCTAACTTGCATGTAGGGCTGGGCTCGATGCTTCACGCATTTGTCATGCATCAACTTGAGATTCTGATCGACTCTGGCCGTCCGCCTTTGTTCCACCGACCCCCAGTCATCTGTGTCCGGGATGATGAGTCTGCCCACAAAGAGTTAGCTTTGCCCGGAAGATGGATTTTCCTCACAAACAAAAGGTAACTCCACATTCACGTTCGGTCATGTTCGTTCAACAAAAAGGGCAACTCTGAGCCAAACTCCTAAACTCCTAAAACTTTGGAAAGTTGAGTTTTTCCCATGCGGTTGTTCCAATTTTTGGTGTTTTGATGTTTTTTGGAGCAATATGCATTGCGAGAAAATGCGGTCCACCGGTCCATCCCGTTTGGATAGCCGGGCAGCAAAAACTTGAGTCGGCAGAAATGGGAAGTGACTATTATTGTAAACAGAACTGGGTGTGTATTATAGGTCCAAATAGGAAGACCTCCCAAATACCTAAGAAGGAAAATAGACCAGTCTACCGAGCCAGGGCCAAAAGGTCTCCCGCATCTAAAACACACATCCATCCATATGTTTATTCGTCACACATCCACAGGATTGACTCCTGGCCGCGATGAGGTGCTCCGAAAAGAGCCTTCTCAACTCGACCAAGGTCGATGGACGAAAACAGAAGCAATCCTTCAAGTCAGAGATCTACAGTACCAGGATCTGCCAGTCAGTTCGGAGAATGTCGTAGGTTGGATTAGAAGAATCCTGGAGAAAACACCAGTGTTCACCCAGTGTTCATGGCATAAATACTGCTATGACTCAGACTTGCACTTATGCCTTCGATGTCTGCTACGCCTTCTCTATTGAACTATAGAAATGACAAGAACGATCGCCTGGACGTCGGCTGTACGACGTAGCTCTGCCACACCCACACACACCCATCTACCCCGAGAGGACGGCATCCGTTTAAACCTCACCAGGGTCAAAGGGGTGGTTCTGTCACGAAGAGCAATGTGTGCATCTCGGCTGTTTGACAAAGGGACTCTCCTTTGTCACTCAAATCCACCCAAGTCAGTCAGTGGAATCAGTGGAATCTCACACGAGGTCTTAGTGGCTTCTTTCTTTGCCCAAATTGGTGTAATCTCATTCGCTTCACCTGCTAAATCAGCACTTCTGCTTGCTTTGTTGCTCAAATCCCGTCAAACATGCACCACGGTTTGCGCGGTCGGCGATGCAGCGTGGTAAGACTCCGTTCGGATGCGCTTCCTTAACGGAACTGTGTTTGGAGACTTGAAGATCAGCAGATGCCGGTCCATTCCCAAACAATCCATGTAATAAGGCATATGGCATATTATAGAATAGCATGGAATAGCTATATTATTTATATACCTACTGTATATATATATATATACTCCATAATGGTTAATGTATTGTATAGGCATGTATAGGCAACACATGGATGGTCTTGGATTGGAGTTATCTCTGGCTCTGCTTCCGAAGCCGGATTTCTCGCGGATGGTCATCCATGCCGATGCGGCTCGCTGCTTGAGACAGGTGCGGTCAGACAGTCAAACATGTTTCCCCAAGTCAATGAGTTCGGACATCCTTTTGGGGGGATTGTGTTTAATGCTGCAATATGATTGAACAATTCACCAATCCCGGTCTCATTGGGCCATCCTGACTCGGATTTCCACGGATGAATGATTTCCAGTGATGCCGAGCAACTTGTTCAACGATAAAGCCCGGTCACCGGTCTTGACATCACTTACGTGCCGCGCCTGTCGCGGCTTTGACTGGATCGAAAGTGAGATCCTTGGCTCTGGATCGTGAGCTCGAGAAGCCCGCACTAAAGGAAATCAAAATGGCAACCACTTGCCCATGCTTTAGCCTTTTAGCCACTGCGCCTCCTGTCCAATTGAGTAGACTCACCAGCATGCCATCTGTGCGCGTCTCCAAACAGCTAAGGCCAGCTCCACCCCGCGTTCTTGCACGTCCACCAGCTTGGCAGTCAGTGCTTGAGCGAGACCTTCGGCCTCAGAAGCTGTTCCCAGCGATGTTGGGATTCCTGAGTGTAGAAAAAACAAACACACATACAACATACAACATACATCCATACAAGTATACCAATATTAAATATGCAATACAAAATCCGACATAATTCAAAAACACGGAACTTGTGGTCTCTCGTGCTTATTCCCGCCCATGCGAATCCCGAGGTCCGGGCAGTGGACATCGGTGGAAGGAGCGGAGACGCGGAGACGGACCGACGCGGCTGCAGTCTCTTGAGCCCAAAGCGACTAAGGACCGAGGAGCGGAGGACCGAAGGATATGAAGACGTGATAGTAGCGAACCTTGTGACGTGATAGTAGCGATGGCCGCCACTTAAAAGTAGCTTCGAGCTCGAAGCGAACAAAGGATATGAAGGTTGGAGAAGAAAGGATGGAGGATTCAAAAGGGGCCTTTCTCTTAAGCTTCTACGTGCTTCAAAGATCCACTGGGCCTAAATCAGAAAAGGCAAGAACATGGAAGGAACTCTGGGTCTGACATGGGACCAACTGAAATCGGAGGACTCTGCTGAAATCGAGGACTCGTTTGGATGGTGTTTCTACGGTGATTGTGAGCCGGGTTTCTCCAGTTTTCTCTTGTCCTCGATGAACGTCTGCAACTCCTGACATTGCAACTTGGTCCCAGACTCTGGCTGCCAGGGTGAGCACATGATCCTCCGCATCCTGGAAGTGAAACAAAACCGCCGATCGATTTGGCCGAAGAAGGACAGGTGACCAAGCCTGCTTAAGAGATCCCACTCTGATCCCACTCTAATCCAATGAATGTCGACAGAATCAAAACTAGTGAGGCACCCCAAACTTGATTGTATTGGAATGCCATGTCACATGGGGAAGACTTGAAATGATGTCCCGTCTATGCTGTTATTACAATGACACTCCAAAAACGCCGCATAAAAGGGTCCTGCGCATCCCAGCTGGGGCCATTCTCGAGCATGGACAGGATCTGGGCAGGAAAAAACACTCGGATGATCTACTAGCCGTGTTCTTGTTACTAGTAGCGATGGCCTCCACCCTAATAGCGTAATAGCGTCCTTGCTACTAGCTACTAGCTTTTTGGGTGTTGCATGGTAGTGCTCTTTGGTGTCCAAGCTGAGATGAAAACAAACAAAGATTGGTCCTGCCCCCAAACGGCCTCTGAACAAGCCAGATACTACGTATCGTGTGTATATATATATATATTATACGTATGTGATATATGTATGTTGATGTCCCGCAAGGCCACTTGGACTCATATGGTCTAATTATATATATACACCTTCCTTTGCTGGCAAACAATATCTGCAAAAGCAAATATGTTCCATACCAATGCTGGATTAGGTTATTCAGGTGCGACCTGAACCAGGCGGGGCCTAGTGCTTTTCCTTGATGTTTTCCAGCACCAATAAGTTTGCTCAGCGATGCCCGACACCAGATCCCCTATAGTTTCTCTAGGATGTGTGTTCAGTTTGTGATCGCCTTCCCGATCTCCTTTCACCTCAAAGACATAATGGGGTGGTTGGTGCCAGGCAGAAGCGATTGTCTCAAATTGCACGACGAACCTCCCAAACCAACAGTCGCATCTTTCTATTTTGAGACTAAACTATCCCGCCTTTGCCAGCCTATACAAGCTTGTTCTCAATCTTGTTCACACGACCCGGAAACGGCCCCCCAAAAATATCAGCCCTCTGAGGTTTGAACTCCTACCCTCACTGACTCGTGGACCACAAAGACGTTGGCCAGCTCCACCTTTAGAAGACTCCAGAACACGGTTTTGTGGAACGACAAGTCAGAACGTTCCTCAAAGATCATGGAATGGATGAATAAAAGGCATGGCATCTTCATCTCGTTGGCTAAGGAGTCTCGATGCAAATCTCTCGCTGAGGCACTGAGGGAACCCAATGTCAGGGACAAAGCGAGCATTTCGCTCAACAGTGTTGGATCGAAAGCTCGCTGGCCCGCGAGCCGTGTCCCATCGTTTCCCATCGTTCATAAACTAAATACCGAACTTCGGACCTGAAGTTGAGGTGTCCCCAATCCCCACTGCTGAAGTGGTGCAGCTGATCCACCGACTTCGGTGAAAAAATGGATGTCGCCTGAAAACAGGTGCGCCTGCTGCGTTCATCCAGCACAGGAAGAGTATATAATTGTTCGTTTTCAAGCAATGTACTGGAGGAGTCTCTTCGCCCAAAATCCTGCACCACCTAGTCCTGGGATGTGCATAACAACTGGTCACCTCGATCCGCTGTGGACCATCTTTTTGACGGATTGGATGAAGCAAAACGAGCTGAACGGAAGGGCAAATCAAGCCATGGTGAATCAATAAACAACCTGAGTATGCTGATTATATGATGTTGAATCGATATGGACAACCTCTTTGTCATGGTTTTGGGTTTGAATGGGGAGACCCCTCTCACTAATGGGTAGACTGGTCTATGTTCCTTCTTCAAGGGGATCATTGCCTGGGATGGTCTATGGTCTCCCTACTCCAGTAGACACCCACATATTCCGACCTCCCACCACGCGGACGCTGCGCGCACACATCCACCTGAAGGATAGTATCCAATAGGTATCCAACCGACTCGAGATGGAAGAGACACAAAAACATCTGGTTTTCTTCGTTAGACTTCTTTTTCGAGATCAAAACACACAAACACATACAAACACATGGGTGACATGGCTTCGCTGGATCTTCTTGCTGGAGCTTTGCTTGTGTCTGTGGTCTCCCTAAGTCTCCAGATGTCCCGCACTTCTCCGCTTCGCTCCGACCTTGTCATCCGTGGCGCTCTCCATGCCAGGCTCGCAGCGCAAGGGATCCTGCGACGTTGACGTCTAGCAGGACGTCCATCTCCCATCCATCCATCCACCCAAAGGCCCATCCATCTTCCATCTTCCCAGATGTTCATCCATTACTCTCCGTCCGTCCTCCGCCCCGCTTTTTGCAGCGGCGGAGGACTTCTATCTGATAGGGTTTTGTCACGTAGTAGATTCACGCATATCATCGTAATTATATCCCATGACTACAGTGACTACAGTGGATAGTGATGGTTAGGTTGCGAAGCTCTGTCTAAAACCAGTGATACTCTTTGACTGACTACGGGGACACACCTGGTCTCTCAGATCCATGTCTGGATCGAGTCTGAGACTCGTCCGACCTGCTCCCCTCCAAACCTCTGAAATTCCGACTTCGCAGAACACATGTCTAACATCGGTCAGGATTTCTTTCTGACCATTTTTCTTTTTGCCCGTTTCAATGATCCAGCGTGTCACGTCGTGTCACGTCGTCTCATGTCGCGCGTCGCGTTCGTCGTTCTTACGCGAAGCTCCTCACACAGCAAGGACTGGATTGAGAGTAGCACAGCACGGATTGAGCTACTCGCACTCCAACGTGGCCCGTGCCAGGTGCCCAAAATGCTTAAGCACACCTCGTGCGAGGTTTGGGGGGAAGAAGGAGATGCGGGACACTGGGATGATTGAGCCTAGGGCCTAGTCTCCCAGGGTGGAGATATGTCCATATATCAATCAACAAATGCACACACAAATACATGTATCAATCAACAAATGCACACACAAATACATGTACATCATATACTAAAATATACTAGAACATACTAAAACTATGTGCTATATCAACATCATTGCGCGCACTAGGGAGCATTTTTATCAGGAGTGAACAGATTGGAAGGGACAGGTCAGGACAGAAGTGTACAAAATCTTCAATATGACTTCAGCTCATCAGTGAAGGTTGTGAGCGAGGCTTAGGTTGCACATGCCCTCCTTCCTTCACAAGAAATAGGTTAGTTCCATGCCAGTTGGTATCTAGCGGTAGCAACACATCTTTCAACATCGATTGGTTGCGAGTTTCCTGTTGAGACAAAGCCATGTGGAATTATTGAATGATTGATTGATTGATTGATTGATTGATTGCAGGCTTGTCCTTCCAGCATTCGCAGCTTTCTGATTCTGCCTGCATTTGAGGAATATGAACGTTCACTGGCTTGAAATGTCGAAAACAGCAAAAACAGCTCAGCTGGGCACTTCTTTCCATGTCATCCGTCGCCCTCGTTCCTTCAGCACCCCCGGTGTTCTGCCGACCTTCCCATCGGCATAGAGCTGTGGATGGAGCCGCAAGGTGCCCGAGTCCGTGGTGAGAAAACGAACCTGACAGCGCACCAGCTGGGTCACTTGGGTCTTTTTGGAACTATCCAAATGCGTTTCATTCCATATGCATTCATTCGTTCATTCATATGATTTAAGAGTCTAGATATTCATTTGGAGGCCCCCGCCAAAGGAGGTGTCCGTAAACATAAGGTTTACAGCTTTCCCATGAGGTTCCTTTCACTCTCGAACCAGGGTCAGCCATCAAACAAGATATGACATTTCATTCAGCGTCAATTAAGATGTGACACAGCCGCAGTGTGAAGCCCAAGCGTGAACCAAGAAGTGCAGATGCGAACCCTGGTGCCATATTGCGTACCAAACAACACAGGGCCTGGTCCAAACCAAGCACAAAACCTTTAACATCCCTCAACAGTTCAATTGTTTAATCTTCACATGCTGCCCTACGTTGTTTCTTTTCAGAAGCATGAAAGGACTCGTTCTGCCTCCAAGATCATGTTCACCTGAGATGGTCTGCTTCGTGGCTTTGCTGCAAGCCCATGTCACAGGGTTTCTCCCAGCTGAATCTCCCCACCTCGGGCGGATTCATCGGGTAGCTCGGCAGGATCTTCAGCTGAAAATGCAGCAGCGCCGCGTCATAGGGCGTGTCAGGGGGTCCCAGCACCAGCGCGTCCAGGTGTGACAAGTCATCACCACGCGGGGTCACAAAGATGGAGGCCGAATCCTGAAGGGCGATTCGCTGGAAAAGAAGAGGGTGGGGACGTTGATACGTATCTGCGACCGCAGAAACCCCTGGTTTGTATCGGTAAGACTTATATGGCTATGGGTCAAAAAATTCGGGTATGGATCGTTCCGCGGTGATCCGAATGTTATTATGTTATTGTATCTTGTTATGTTTGTTTGCTTTTTTGGATCCCTTTCTGCATCACCGGAAATTCCACTGAGCTGGGATTGCCTTAGGGGCGATTCTGGGGAGAACAACCGCAGCTCACCACCGTTCGGTTTTTTTCAGTGAGAACGGCCCTCTACAAGGGCCAGGCCAAACTTCTGGCCAATGGCTGCAAGCACTAATATGCCTGAATTCAGAAACCCGGACCCATAGAAACCTGCATGAACCATCATGAACCTGCTATACAGTAAAATCCATGGTAGTTGATGGTGACGATGTCTTCCATCCTTCACCATCTTGATGTCTTCCGTCCTCCTGGATTTGCTTGAGCTCCCTCTGCAGCCGCCGAAGCCCCGTCTCCATGGCACCATGGTGTTCGCGGTCAAACTGATCGGCAGGGACCGCGAGGGAAGCGGTCTTGGTGTTCTTAGATACGTTGCGAATGCCAGTCACTGGACGTTTACTTATCAATCAAGCATGCTAAACATGCAAAGCAGTCTTGACATCCGGGCCAAGTCCCAAACACATCGTGTTCGCTGGGACGCTCTTCAACACAACTTGCCAATGTCACGTGGTTCATGCTCTCTGAAAGAGTCAACAGGCTCCAAGTTGGAAATCAATTGAGGCTGTCATTCCAAGGCTTCGATGAACTTGGGGACACCCCCAAGATCCACTGGGTGCCAATGGCCGACACGCTGTTCATGCAATGTTGGCGACACGCTACACAATGTTATGGCTACCGGCTACCGAAAAGCTTTCAGTATTTGACCCATGTCCATGATGTCCCTCTTTCTGTGGGGATCGAGTCTGCCTATGGGCTATGCTGCCACCAAGAAAGAAATCTGGAGAGTCTTTCTTGAGATCAAACTGCCTGGTCGACTGCAAAGCTGCTTGATGTTAGTTCCCTGACGTGCTTCTGAATGTTAAAACTCTCAGCCAAGCCGAGAATGCCCGGACCTTCGTACCAATTATCCCTCTCCGCAGCTTCCTAAGGAAAACACAAATGCACCTTTCAAACACGTGTGACTCTGTACACCATGACCCCATATGACCTATGACCCTGTCTTTGCGTTCTTGAAGAACCGACTTCATCCAACTTCAGAGACGGTCCCGACCAACACCGACCGACCAACAGAGCCTTGGAGTCCATGGACAAACCACCAAAGAACCTGCGGTGTCCATCGATCGGTCAGCACTGCGGCTTCGGGGGAGGCCGCAGAGCGCTTGCGGGTTGCGGGTTGCGAAAAGAGGACCGCTTCGCTGGGAACCCAAGAAGCAGAAAGATCATAAGGCCTTACTTGGGGTGTGGGCTTCCGGGCATTCATCTGTTTGAAAAGACTGAAAATACTTCACAAAGCTAATATAATATACTTGCATCCTTTACAACAAAACCTGTTTACAGAAATACATAGAAATACTTTGTCTTCAGCATTCATCAAAAAATGATGGAACAAGAAAACGGTTTATTCACCAGTTCCAAGATCATACATCTACGGTGCCACATGTCTCGGTGTGCGCAGATGGACGTAGGTGAAGCTGAAGAAATATCAGGGATATTCAGGGATCGTGTGTAATTCCATTGTTCACATCGAACATGAACGTCCAAAATAAAATGAACAAACTCATACCTTTCAAACATTTCATCAAAATGATGTTCATTCCATCCTTCTTTCCAGGGATGCACTGGTGGGTGACCAGTACCGTTGCAACTGGAGCCCTGCACTCCGGATTGGACCAGGAACATGTTGTCTGCAAGAATGTGCTGAGTGGATGGAAGCATGAACCAAACATCACTAAACCACCTCGCAAGCATCTGCCACAAGGGAAAGAACCCCCAAAAGTTCGCGTTCACAAAGATGCAGGCAATGAACCACCGGACGGTGGACTGTAACACCCCGTCACGACATCACCTGATCAGAAGAGGTTGACATCCGACGGTCGGCTGTTTGGAGGTTGCTTCGGTCAACCTCTGCTGCAACTCCGACGAATGCCCTGACGTCGGACCGTCTGCGGCGGTCCCAGCTGTGGTGACGTCCGTGGAGACACCGGACGGGGCTGGACAGCTCCCAAGACACGACCCTGTTTTTGGGGAGACTAAGTATGTTTGGGGGCGACTGGTTGGGGTGGTCGGGGAGATTGGCGGCCATAGTTGTTTTTTAGTAAATATGCCGATCCCTCTCTCAAACAGGTGGTACACATGGGTCTGGGAGGCCCCTTTTCACAGCTCGTTGCAGCTGGGACGATGGAGGAACCAAACGTGTGAGACTGCTACGACATTGAATAGCTTGAACCAGAGAAGTTAGATAACACATGATAACTCGCTTCGCAAGTATTGCCCAGCGCAGCTGGAGGAACCAAACGTTTGTAGAAACTCGAGCCTCCCACCAAGCAGAAAAGCTCACAGCGGTGCGACCGTGATGCTGCCATCACGGGCAAGCATGAAACAGCGGTAGAATTCCAATGGGGAGACGGAAAAAAGCAAAGCCAAGAAGCAATGCCTCACGATGAATCGAAGAAGGCTCGTAAGGTAGCAAAGAACCAGTCGATTTCCCCCGCTCAAATGATCAGATGTTCTCCCAAGCGCACACAGGCCAAAAGTAACTGGGATTGCCAACAGAACAACCCACAGATTTGCATGCTGAAGCTCTACGCGCAGATTTGCATCTCGAAGAGCATCTGAAGTCATGCCTACTACCTTCAACAGAACTTGGATGACATCGTCAACTTCATCAACCTGGTCACCGATCTCACCTCATCCTGCATTTCAAAGCATGATGCCTGACGAATGGACCCGTGACGAATTTGTTGGTGTAGCTGCTCCGCCCAAAGCTACTTGCCAACTCAGCCTGTCGATCTCAGCAAGTAGGACATATACAAGCAAGAAGAGTCTAAAAGCATTCAGTTGGAACACATGGGTGTGATATTCTGAAGAGTGTTTGATGCTATAATGTCAGCCTCATCCAGCACGCCAACGGGCGGAAGATGACACGACACCACCTCAAGCTTCCACCGAAATATGCAGCCAACTAGTGCCAGTAACTAACACAGCTGGCAGCCAGCCAGCCCACGACAATCAGAAGTTTTGGAACCCTTCAAACCAACACCCATCGCAGGGGGAAGGGGGGGGGCAATGATTTTGTCGGAATGGCCATGAGGGAGTTCAGTTCGCGTCGAGATATAACGAATACAAAGCAGAAGACCGGTTTGTACACATGCAAGTTGGTGGAGGATTTCTGTCTTCCTCCTGGTTACAGAATGTATCAAATATTGATATAGCTATTATACATCATGTGTATATTAATATATATATATACACATACACATACACGACAGCAAATAGAAATCAAGTAAAGAAATTTGAAGAACTATGATTATAAAAGTAAATGATAGTAAATGGAATACATCATACATACATGGAGCTCCTTGAACAAAGGGTCCATGTGGAAAGCTAGCACTTTGCGCAAGCCTTTTTTGATCATAGCCAGGTACCGTTCGTTCCTCTATATCTTCTTACGTCAAAGTGAACCCGAGTGAACAGAAACTCATCTTGACTTCGGGGAATCCTCGATGAAACAAACAAAGGTTTTGACATTTCAATTCCCCCCACCCCCCTGAAGAGGTGGTGAACAATCATAAACAGTCCATGTCGATGTTTTTTTGAATGAAATCAAGAGTCCTACAGAGTCCGAAGCAAAGGTCTTTTTGGATCCACATCTCTCCCCAACAGCACAAAGAGCCGCAAGGGGAGCACCTCTCGCAGCGCTGGAGGGCGCAAGTCATCTCGGCCTAGGTGTGGGGACCCTGCAGGTGAATCTGCCCAAATGGATGAGGGACTGGATGAAGGTGGTGGGAGTGCAAGTGGGTGAAACAAAACTCCAAGAGTTGCGGGGTTTGGTACAGCAAACAGTTCAAATTGATTCTAATTACATCTATACCCGAAGTCCAAAGACTATATTTTGACCGACTGAAGTAGAGGAAATTCTTTTCGGGTCACCTAAAGACCATTCTTTGTATAGTCTTAGACTTTGACTCCCAGGGATTATATAGAGATTCCGTTTCAAAATCTCCTTGTGGGAGTTCCGTTGCCTTCTTGAAAACAGGTGGATTTCCGCCAGATCACACCGTCACACCGCCAGATCGAGCGTGTCTCAACCCGCCCAGCCCGATGCCAACGGCAAAGAACCACCGATGTCAATGGGGCGAAATGAGTTGCAGAATTTCCCTTCGGAACTTGCTAGAAGCTACTAGGTGCATCGCTACTAGTAACAAGAAGCTACTAGGTTGGAGGCCATCGCTAGTAGGAACAAGAAGCTACTAGGTTGGAGGCCATCGCTAGTAGGAACAAGAAGCTACTAGGTTGGAGGCCATCGCTAGCAGGAACAAGAAGCTATAGGCTATATATACTAGTGGTTGAGGTGAAGAGTTGTAGTCCTTCAGGCAATCAACTTCACTCTGAGGGACAAACCACTTCCTGCGTGGTCTGCTTGAGCAGAATCCGACCCCGTGCCACCAGCGCCTCAAAGTTCAGGAGAATACATGTTTTTAAAGGCCGCTCTGCCTCCAACCTACTAGCGATGGCCGCCAACCTACCAGCGTTGGAAGAAAAAACCGGACCTGTCTTCTTCTTGAGTCACTTCCCCCCGGTTCGCCCAAAATCTGAGAAGGGTCCAGGACGAGCGGACGATGTAAATCCAGGGCTCTGTGCGGGTCGTTTGGCGCCAACTCGTCTGCGCAGGTCAATGGTTTTCGTCACGGAAAGGTTGGAAAGACTACTTCGGTGACACATGGCGCCACTTCGGTTCTCTTGTATAATCCACCCACCAACAGGACCAATCTATATCCATTTCCATCCATGTACGTCTGTGAGCTTCTCAAGTATAGCGTTCACATGCGTTCACTTCGGTTCATCTGTTCGATGGCCTCGGTTTGGCCTGTCTGCTCGACCCTCGGCCCCAAACAGTCGGACCGCCACCGTTGTTCGGACGCCCCTGGTGACGCCGGTCATGGGATTCGTCATGCCGGTGGAGTGGAATCCAAGGCAACTGGAACTCCAGTTCGTCCGTATTGGAGCAGCTTGTGCCACAGAAACCGTGCAGTTTCACCAGACTCTCAGGCTCCCACATGCAGCTGTGAACGCCTGAGGCGTGTCGTTTCGTCTCTCCGAACACGTCCTGTTCCATGCGGTCGAATGCACGCGTGTTTTTTTCACCTGTTCCACGGGCTTCGTCTGAAATTCCAGGAAAAAATAAACGGCACAAACAATTCCCACACTTCACCGTGGAGTAATGTGGAGTATGACCCACTGCAAATTATGATTTGTCCAGAACTGCCGGGTTTGGAGTAGGATCAAAAGACATGACGTGACAGAAATCCCACCACTACTTCCGTCACAAAACTTTCGGAAGAAAAGGAACATCGTGTTGATGAAATCCAAAGAGGTCACAAACAGAGACTTCAAAGGGGGTCACTTTGAAGCTCCTGTCCAACATTTATATAAGTACAAAAAGGATCAAACAACGCGGTGTTTTTGTTTTGTTTTGGAAAATGAATTGGGAAGAAGAACGCACCGCCCCCGTTGGGCCCGGCACGCTCCGCCCAAGGTCTGGCTGGAGGTCGAGCTCGGGGACGCCACATCATCTGGCAGCAAAGCTCTCCACCCGTCCTCTCTCCCAAAAAGCCAACTGTTTGGCTACAAACTTTTGACTTGAAGGGCGCAAGATGGCGCAAAAACAAGCAACCTATCCTTGAACTTCCATGATTGGACACACTGACTCACCCACTGGTCAGTTCCAAGGTCAGTTCCAAACAATTTCACCCAAGGTTTCCTGTGGTTTTCGCTGGCTCGCTCCGACCAACGGACCATTTCAAATGCCAAGAAGAACTTCAGCACCACCGGCGTGCGTTTCTCACCATTTTGGGGTAGTGCATTGAACACAGAGTTCCGTCTTCGAAAACCTCAAGCTAAGCTTCGGAGACAGTCCTCCTTTTTGGGGACACACTTCTAGAAGGCAAAGATCAAGGCCACATTCATTGGGTCCAGCCGTCGGTTTCACATGGTTTAACCGTGCAACCCCAAAGATACGCTGCTCCGGTGAGGGATCTTTGTCCAAATACGATCATTTGGTGAGCTTTACCACGCACGAGAGTCCGTCGTTCTGCGGTGAAATCCAGAATCTGGTGGAGCTTTCTACAGCTGATGTTTTCCCAAAACACGCGACCACAACAGTCTGGATGCAATTTTTGCGGTTCCGTTGTTCGGCGCGCGCGAATCTGGTCCGAAATGCCTTCCCGAGAGCCGTTGGACACAGGTCCTGCCAGCCATTGGGAAGCTTCGCAGGTTTTGCAACATGTTCCAAGCTTCCAGGTTCACCTTGATCAACTAATCTTGACCCCAATTCCGTCAGAACACCCCGAAGCCCGTGGGCGCCGTACACCCACTTTCGTCGTTAGGGGGTCGGATCCTCAAAAAAACACATTCGAGATTGAATAAAAACATATGGTACGATTTGATTGTGGCCAAAATATGCCAAAATAGAACACCTGAGGAATGCAGAGGGGTCCAACTGCCAAGTTCAAGAGGATCTGAACTGTCACAGAAACGAAGGTTCAAAACATAGAACCTACTTCACGCAGGTACGTCAACTCGGCGTCCGGAGTTGATCTCACACACCGATGCAAGTGTCTTTGATAGTGCCAGACTTGCGTGGTCCCTGGCACCCCCTGCTCAAAAAAAGAAAAGAGCAACGCACACAAACCCCGAGAACGGAAAACCACCCAAAAAGAACCGGGGAGGAGGTCATGTTACGGATGATTTTTGAGAGTCTTTTATTGGTCATACAAAAGGAATGCAAATACGAGAGCCAAGACTGGTTTCAACAAACCTGGGTCACTCCCAGGTTCTGTATTCATATTCATTTGCACAACTGTCTTGGAATGTGTCAACCCCGTCTACCACTCGTTTCTGTATACTCTCGCCCCCACTCTCGCTCCTTCAAGCGGTGCTGTCCCATTGCAACCCAACTCACTCCACAGTGGCTGGCACGTCGAGATGTTCGACCAGCCGGGTCGAACGAAGCAAAGAAACACAGCGTAGAGATGAACACCATCTTTGGTCTTTGGAAAGGGGAAGAGTAGAACACAGCCAACGGTTTTTCTTTTGGAACCCTTATGAGCCCACCATCCGTGAACATCAATTATATCAATATTTATATATTAATATAACCACATGTTCATGTGTTGAACACGTTGTTCTGAACTTTCCTAATTAGTCTCAGGTGTGTTGGTTTGAGCATCGGATGAACACAAATATGAGTCTTTGGACATAGATCTTGCCATCTTATCCTGTCGCTCCTAGCACTGTGTCAATGTTCATGTGATGTCCGGTTATCAGGAAAATCCGCAGGCAGGCGCACTGAAGGAATTCCGCAGGTGCCATTCGATGTCTTTTGAGGGCACTGAAACCTGGCCAGGAAAGCATATCTGCATGCCTCCTCTTAAGATGTGGATTGTCTTCCAAAAGTTGCACACCAAGCCTTTCTGTTCGATTCTGGCACTTCTCATCCTTAGCACGCAGTGAACATCAACACTGCATTGGAACAGGGACAGGTGGAGGGGCAAGCTCAAGCCTGGGACAATTATATACGTCAACCTTCCGCCTTGGACCGCAAGTTCAAATTCTGAATAGGTTGAGGGTCTGCTAAGGCCAAGACTGGTGAGGGTTGCGTGACATTCCGAATGAAGACGGAGACAGCCTGAAAGGCTGGCAAAGGTTTGGTGCGCTGGGCTCTTCATTCTCTAGTAATTACATGCGTAGCACACAGTAGATTAGCAAAGCTCTCCAACGATTTATATAAACACAAGGCGTTCTGCCATTGCATAGTGTTAGACATACCAGCCAACGCTGTTGCTAGCAGTGGCCGGTCTAATGGATCTACCGTTCGGACTCCTCCATGACCACCCTGAAGAAAGGAAAACGACGCGTGAACCTTCATCGGTTGGAGCCGTGCATGATTCAATCCTTTGCGTCTGGGTTGGAACCCCACAAAACAATCTCTTTGCAGCACGAAGTCTGGCATCCTGGTTTAATCTGAGCCTGCAATATTGCATTGCGTAGCTGACAGCCCGAAGGATATGTTCTTAGCTGCCCTGTCTTTCCACCCTTTGCTTTTCACCCTCACAGCCTTTTGTCTCGCCCTCTGCCCGTTCTTTTTCACCCTCCACTTCCTTTTCACCCTCACCGAAGTGCCCACAACTGTTGGAGCTTTCGCACAGAAAAACTGGAGGTGGGTTGAGGGGGAGAGGACACTAACCATGACTAACCGCTTGTCCCCTAGACCCCTTCTTTTTGACCTTCCAGGGTCAGTTTCACCCACCAACAACTACTGGAGTTTGCCCTTCAAGAAGCTTCCCCTGGACGCGTCCCCTTCAGAGCACACCAACCATTTGTGCTGTTGCTGTTGTTGTTGTTGTTGCTGCTGCTGTTGTTGTTGTTGTTGTTGTGGGTGGACAAGAGAGAGCGACGGAAAAAGCTTTCAAGGTGTAGCAGAAAGGGGTGGTGAAAAAAAACAGTGTCCGACGGCTCCCCTTCTAGGTTTTCAAGGTTCCTGAACAGCTGCCGGCTCACGTTTCCAGAGGTTCTGGGTCACATTAAGGTGTGCGTGCAGGTTCTGAGAACCACCTGCCTCACCGGCGGAGGATGGAAAAGAAGTAGTGGAGGGTGAAAAAGAAGAAAGCGTGGTAAAGGGTGAAAAGAAAGGGTGGAGGACTAAACAAACTCTAGCCCAAGGCTGAAAAAACGGTTCCAAAGCGTGAGAAAATCGGGCTTGAGGGTGTTGAAAAAGATGGGCTCCGAAAAAAGACAATCACATGATCAAAGGACATCAAAGGATTGCAAACAGGGAGCCCACCAAGCAACACTGGAACAAAAAGCAAAAACACAATCCGAATTGCAAGCAGCCACATGTTGGCCCTGCTCAGCACGTGTTGGACCTGCTGTTGATGTTGAAGTGATTGACAAACTGTATAGACCCTGAAGTTCGGGGCCGATTCCGTCTGATTCTGCCAGCCGGATACTTTGGTGGCCGATTCCGTCAGCCATCGGATACGCTGGCTGGCTGGCTGGCTGATTCCGCCAAGTACCCGGGACGCAGGGTCAACAACAAATCGACAGTACTATCTCATGTAATGCCAACCCGGATTGATCAAACCACCCCTCCCAACATGGAAGGTCAACAAGGTTGTCAAGGTCTGGGGTGCCACATTTCAGGCCACTCCCTCTAACCAATCCGCTGACATATCCTTGCCTTATTCTTTCACGTCAAGTGGAAACCTTTGTTTTTAAACCAAAACCCTTTCATTTTCAATGAAAACCCTTTCATTCTCATGAGATTGGGAAGACATGGCTGTTTAAAAAAGCACAAGAAGGCAAGCTACTTGCACCATTGCTAATATGAAATCCCAGCAGAGAACGACAACAAAGACCTGAGACTAAGGATCTAAACTAGTTGTATATTGCGATTAAGGGTGGTGTGTGTATATATATATATTATGTAGTATATTGAGCATGTCTTAATCCCTGCAACAGTGGATGATGGTGGATAGTAAAGGCCTTTCTCTGAAATAAGTAAATATTTGATAATAATTGTTTACTGACTGTTACAGGTAATGGGACACGCCGGACATATATGTCCTTGAGTATAATGTAGTGGGGGATACCTTTTGTGAACTTGTCAAGCAAGTGATGCTATCAAGAATTCGGTCAGAAATCTACTGATCCTGAACCCTGGATGCTTTCTTGAAAGACTGGTTCTTCCAGTGCCAGAACCAAGGATCAAAAGAGAAGAGAACAAACAAATCCAAGAAAAGAAAGTAACAAAAACTATTTAGTGAAGCAGGACGATAGGTTTCGTGTTTGGTTCGGCGGTTTTAACGGCCAACGCCTAAAGGCGGATTACTTTGCTCAAACAAACATGCCCTTTTTACGGGATCATCTATTGGGGTTATAGCTAATGATTCATCTCATCTCATCTACTCTTCACTGGAGCCTGATCAGATTGTTCAACCAATATATACATAATATATTATACATAATAAGTCCAATACAATGGTCTCGGGGAAACAGTGAGCCTGATCTTGCTTCAAAGCTCCAAAAGTAAACAAGCAAATGGATCAACTTAAGTCATCTTAAGTCCCATTACTTCAATAAACACCATGTTTTTGATTCAATTTCAGCCAATCCAAGCGGGTGGCTCTGCATAGATTGATGCTTCTTGTGGATGATAGGCCTGCTCCCCATGACATCCGCTCGCCATCGGCCGTCACGGGACGCCGACACGGTCCGACACCGGTCGCACCTGTGGTTCCGTCGGGGGCGGAACACCGGTCGCACCTGCGAAACTCGGGAGAGCCGGTTGTGGTGCCTGGATTTGCCACATGTTCAATGTGAAGAACGGCATGAGAGTGCCAATGGAACGGCATGAGAGTGTCATCATGGAACATAGGCAAATCCAAAAGAAAGGACCAACGATGGTCAACTTGCTTCGTTCTGAAATGTTTCCCAGTTTCCCTCCACTAGAACTCTTGGATCTCACCAAAAACATATGCTTCAATCACCTTTGCCTCGTGCGCTCATCGAGCTCCGTGGGGTACATGCGGCCAAATGGCTCAAACCTGCTTGGGAGTCGAAGAACAGAATGCCAGAATACCCGGAATTAAATCCATCACACAGCTGAATGCCAGTCTTGAAAATTTGTTGAACGTATCCTTTGAGTCTACTTTCCTTCTTCCAGGGGGGCCAAACAGGGGTCTCCCTATTCTGAAACAATAATATTTTTTCTTGCTGTAGCTGGCCTAAACGGTTGGAATCTGAAACAGCAACCTCTTGTGGCTTCTTGCTGGGCATAGATCCCTTGGACCCTGCCTCCACCCTGTGCCAGTGCATCAAAAGCTGGGTTCGAATTGTATCGGCAGAGATGATCACAAGTCAAGCAAGCATGCCTTGCCACAACACCTCCAATAGACTGATGCTTACAAGTTTTGAAGGATGTGTCTATCGGATTCTCCCTTTCAACCTCGTGTGACCGCTCCACAGGAGAGAGGATCTTCTGTTTTGGGTGCTGTTCGAAGACTGGTGTCATCCGAAGATGAACCGGGTCACGAGGTTTTTTCAGATCTGGGGACATCACGTTATCAAGAGAAGTGTAAGGTCTGGAAGCCTCTTTTCCGGGCCAAGTGGACACGTACCGGCACCAAAAATCCAATCCCCAGAGCTTACAGTCTGACTATCTCATTGAAGTGCCACCTGCTCATTTAAAGGTCGCACACCAAATCATACCAAATCCATCCAAATCCTCAAAAGAAAGAAACCGGGCGAAGAAGCGCCCGTCTGCGCCCGCTCTCGGCACCCGAGCCGTGCGTCTCGTGCCGCGCCGTGAGCCTCCGTCCGGTGCTTTCGTTCGTTCGGCCGGCGCCGTGAGCGAGCATTTTCCACCATGTTGTATGCTTAAGCACAGTGGATGTGGGGAAGGCAAAGAAGCGAAAGAGACCATTTTGAGAGCATAGTATGTCATGAAACAATGAGGACGTTGGCTTCTTGCGATAACAGGCCAATGTGAATGCCTTGAAAGGGATGTTTTGGAAGACATATAAATATATAGACAGATGAAGCAAGGTATTGAAGGTTCTTCCAAAGAGACAAGGAGGAGCCTTGTATAGAGGACACTATTAAAAAGTCAGGAATCGTTTAAAGTTAGAGCAGGACCCATTGGACACGTTTAAAGAAAGTCGTCTATCAGGAGGAGCCAAGGTTTTTCTATACAGGATTGGTATGCTTGGTATGTTTAGTTGTGTAATGTTTTGTATATTTTACTATGTCCTCCTGACCCCCAGAAGGGAACCAAGACTTTTCTACACAAGACTTGTACTGTATGTTTGGTATTGTGGTGTGGGGACTTTTGGTATTGTGGGAGCTTGTACTTTGAATTTGCCAATACCCAGAAGTCTAAAAATGGCCTTCTGCAGGAAACACTGTCAAACGCACACGCGCTGGTCCCGCGTGGCCGAAAGTCTGCTTGAAAACGGCCGAGATTCCAGACGATCCCCCGAGACCGCTGATCCCCCGTCTTCGTGGAACGTTTTCCGCTGCGAGAGTCCCCCATGCAGAATGCGTTTGGAAGATGTTGGAAGCAAAACAAAGACAGTATTGTGACAAGATGAATACAAAGCCCACCACGGATGGGTGGTTGATTACAAATGTGGAATCGGGTAAATACTGGTGTCTACAGTAGTCACAATAGCAGTCATCCATATGTTCGCAAGAATAATTGACAAGAATTGTACATCAGTGTGCTAAACAGCTTACATCTCTCTCTCTCTCTCTCGCTCTCTCTCTCTCTCTCTCTCTCTCTCTCGCTCTCTCTCTCTCTCTGTGGCCGCTACTAGTACAAGGAGTTCTGCTGTCAATCAAAGGTTCACGCATTTTCCACCCAATCTCAACAGCGAATGACGACCATAAATGACCGTACCCTCTGTGTGACGCTAAGCCACAAAGGGGAGCATCGGGGCGTCACAGCAGGCCTCGGTCTTCGATGCTCCAAAGAAGTCGAAGTCACACAGGACACCACACGGATGAAAAAGGATGAAATGGATACTCCCCTGCAAATTAACATGGAAGCCCAAAACCACTGGGTTCTAGAGGGAAATGGTCTTCCACCAGAGAATTCTCGGGTTCCATGTTAGTCTGCGGGAGAGTACCGTAGATCTGTCAACAAAAATGGAAGTGGATATAAGTGGATGGCATCCTCTGGCCTTGGTATTCGGATTTCAGGGTCTTTCCAGGGGCCAGGACGTCCACTTCCACCAGGTCAATAGCTGAATCATCCCCTACAAAGCATGCTGGAACACTGCAGTTTCTTACCAAGATCTTGATCCAATATATATATATATATCCAAATACCAAACATTACCAAACCCCACCAGTCCGTTTCAGTCATAACTGCTAGCTTCGTCGTATCATGTTTGTATTTAGCGACTTCTCCCATTCCTCCTGAGTTTCCAGGCAGCCCTTGAAGATACAAGCGCCAAGCCTCTTCCTCACGTCCCGCAGGGACCGTCGGTCGTCCTCCCACAGGGACCGGCGGTCCGTCGCCTGGGAGGCGTAACGGACGTCGGCGGTCCTTCGGTCGCCAATTAGATTGAAGCATCAAATAGAAACCGTTTTTTCCAGTACATGCGTTGCAGAGGATCAACAAGTGTTATGTTTGACCACTGGCAAGAACGATTATCCTTGTTTTTGATATGAAACGGCATTGCAGGTCATCAGTACAAGTACGATTGTTTTCCATGTCCATCACTGGCTACCTGGACCATCCTGTCTGGGTGTCCTGGCTGTAGATCACGGGTCGTAGTGGGCTGGTGGGGGGTCCAGTGATCCGCAGAAAAGCCAAGGGGGCAAAGAGCTTGAGAAGAGTGTAGCAGTGTAGCTCAAATAGGGAGACCCCCCCCAGGCAACGACCCCCAGTTAAGAAGGAAATAGACTAAAACCGATTGGGCCAGCAGGTTTCTATTCTATAAATACACACCCACCTGAGGAAGCTCAATTGGACAAGTTGGGCGGGATGACGTGGCATGTCATCTGGAGCTTCTCCACGTGCAGATGGAGCTTCTCCGCGTGCAGAGCGCAATGGCGGAGCTTCACGAATCCTGGAGGCAGCGGACATAAAATGCATGATCGATGCAAAAGGAGTGAACAGGTAAGGTAATTCCGCTTCTGCAGCCACATCTTCAGCCACCTTCGTGTTCAGGATCAGCACTGCAAAGGAACACACACACATGAAAGACTCATTTTGTATATAATATGTTTATATAGTTATTCTATTATATATGATATCCACGAGACGACTCGATCACAGTGTGATGAAACTTATTTTTGATTCGAGCAGAGTCATCGGTGAACACGAAGAGGCAGGAGCATTGATCCGAAGGAGATTTCTTTGTGCTGACCAGTGGAAAGTGGTACCTTTCTGTACCTAAACCACACACAACATTACAAGAGAAAATAATATGGTGTCCCTGAAGAAAATAATCCGTCTTTGGGCTCCTGAGGCATAACTGCCAGGGTTGGATATTTTGTAAGGTTTCGTCGCTCGCCATTCCCATGAAGGAAGGATGGCGCGACTTTCTGGCGCGGAGAATGTTCTCATCATCTTGTTAGAAGTTACTTTAGGACCAGATGTTGACTCCGAAAACGTAGGTTTGGGGGGTGTTCACACTCTTCGGGATAGTCCATCCAAAAGGCGACGAGGCGAAGAGGAGCAGCCAACGGTTGGAGCGCAAGAATGCGTGGACAATGGAAATTCTGCACGTTGTGGGGACGACATGATGGGAACGGCTACAAGCAGGAACTGATTGGCCCAGGAAAATGGTTAGGAAAATTGCATAGGACTAATTACATCTAATTACTATACATAGGTCTGAGGCCCTGGTCCACCAGGTAGGTCAATCAAGGCATCCTGGTTCTGACCCACTGCCGCGTTGAGAAACCAAGTGTTGGGACTGTGGGACTAGTTGACCGTGAACATAGATATCCGCACCGGCCAGGGCCCCCACATAGAGCCATGCGGGTTTCTGGGCGTACAAAGCCTCAAATGACGGGAGGAGACAACGCATGACAACGCCCACCAGCCAGCTCTTCCACTGGCCAAGTCTTTTAGTGTTGAACGAAATTTCCTTCTCTTTATTTGAAAGAAAACCACTCCAGATTGGTCAAGCGTTGGTCGTTCAGGGACCCGTGAAACCAGGGAACTTCCGTGAGTTTCCTTGGTGTCTTTGGAGTTCGTTTCATGAACATCACTGCATATCACATCGTACTATATCATAATAATGTTGCATCCCAATTAGTATAATGGTACGGAATAACAAAAAGTATTCGCCAAATTATTCACACACACACACTGATTAGTTTGATGGGACGGAATAAGTGTGTTCATCCAGGGTGCTTGTTAACAGAGTTCTTGATTTGTCTGCTCTTTTGCTATTGTTGCCCTTCAAAACCCTTGCTTAACTAGAACGACTACCTACCACTGTTGCTGCTGCTACTACTGCTACTACACTGCTGCTGCTACTACTACTACTAATAATAATAATAATGATAATAAAATAATTGTTTTTGTGGCGGTGCTATATTGTTTGCTAGGGGGGTGTTCATGTTAATTAGGATCCAACATTAATTGTCATTATCATGTCATGTTATGTCATATCAGATCATATCAACTAGTATGTAGACTTCTAGGAAATTAGTATAATGAAAACCATCTACACCTCCCGGTCGCAAAGAATTGCAAAAATGCAAGCATTGGTATGGCGCCGCACCATTTCTAGAGACATGGTCCGAAGGTCTCTGGCGTTTCGCCAGATGTTGCTCTTGTGAAGGGAAAGATCAGATGGTCTGACAAGCCCCCGTGGCAACAACACAAACTAATGGCTGTACAAACTTCCGGCACTATAAAATATCGGGTGAAAAGTCACAAAGGAAAATCGCCCATTCGAAGATATTCAAAGAACCTCTTTCAGAGGTGCTGTTAAATATTAATCAGATTCAACACCCGGCCAACTTCTCCAACGCGAGATCTGACCTCAGAATCTCATTTTGTAGTGGACTTCGGCCTAGGAAATGTACCTGCCCGGTTTCCAGGTCATAAATTCCTCCCTGGATCTCCAATTCACCCATCTCCACCTTTTCACGGATGATGCCGCCTCGGTGCGATCGTCTCGGCCATCGAACGGGACGGACCCGACTCCGACGAGCCGCGGGGTGTTTTGGGTGCAGTGGACTTGATTAAGATTGTTGTGCCAGTGACGACTTAAGAACGAGGCACTACGGTACAACCAAACTTGAGCCGTATATAAATGGCAACACACACACACACACTTGTTTGGCTCTGATAACACTAAAACACAGTTATAGATATGTATATATATATATAAAGGGATATCATGGGCTGACACAAAGTTGTCCGAATGTGCTCCCATGTGGGTTGAGTTTGGCGGCCACTTGAAATACATACTGTCCTTTCTCCAACATCTGTCATCTGCCAACAACTGTCTGAACATCAAACATGCCTGAACTGGTTGGTGATTCAAACCATCCCCAACATGGCATCCAAAAAATCCTAGACAAACCATCAGGATCATGGCGCTTGATTCATCCCAAAAAACAGAACTGCACCAAATCAGACCCCCCAAGATGTCCAGATTTGGCGCCACGTGGGCGATGGACGTGCCAGGCCCCGGTGTTGAGCCATGACGGGAGATCGTTCAGAACAAAAAGAACAAATCAGATCTGCCATGATCTCCAAAGGAAGAAGGCCAAGTTGCTGTATTGGAGAAGGAAATTGATAGACCTGTAGATGTTCAGCCTCACTTTTCTCCACGTGAATCGTCGGACCGGACGTCCGCGCGACAGAACACAACAGATTGAAAGGTGAAGCACCCATAGTTGCAGGTGGCCCCCAGTGGAACGAGAATTGTACCACCTGTGTTATAAGCCAGCTTGACACTTATGTGAAGGCCGAGTACCAAAAGCCACCTTCAGTGCACCAACAAAATCGCACCACCTGTTGACCCCACATTGCCGCTTCAAAAAAAGGAGCGGAACGCCGCAGAGGCAATGCCCCAGCGGTACATGGTGGGTTCGGTGGTTTGTTACATTGAAGTGGATGTGGAGCGTCGTCAGCTCTTTTCATACCATGGCGAGGTGCATGTTGCCATGGTGGGGGGCTTTGTGGTTCTTGATTTTGCTGGTGGGTCCTCGGGTTTGTCGGGGTGTGGCCAGGGTTTACAGCTGGCATTCTATCCAAAGTGTGGCCCTGTGACCACCTGCCATGCAAAATGCACGGAAATTATATTGTTGTGTTGTGCTGTGTGTTAAGGTGGTGGTGGCGGTGGTGGCGGGCGTGCTATATGAGTTTGTTACCAACGTGCTTTTGGTTGTGTTTGTGGTTGTGCTTTTGTGACTGTGTGTTTGTGATGGTGTGTCTGTGATATTGAGTTTGTGGCTGTGCTTGTGGCTTAAGGCTTATGTGCTTGTGGTTGTGTGTTTGTGGCTGTGTGTTTGTGATTGTGTGTTTTGTGATTGTGTGTTTGTGATTGTGTGTTTGTGGCTGTGTGTCTGTAACTGTGCGCTTATGGCTGTGTGCTTGTGATTGTGTGTGTTTGTGGCTGTGTGTTTGTGATTGTGTGTTTGTGCTTGTGCTTGTGGTTTATGTGTTTGTGGTTGTGTGCTTGTGGTTGTGTGTTTGTGGCTGTGTGCTTGTGATTGTGTGCTTTGTGATTGTTTGCTTGTACTTGTGTGCTTGTGGTTGTGTGTTTGTGGGCTGTGTTTTGTGCTTGTGTTCTGTGGTCGTGGTGGTTGCTTTTGTCCAAGACTGCCCACCGCGATCTGGCGCTTGCTGTTAAGGTCCGGTAGTACCCACTGCGACTAGGCGCTTGCTGTGTTGAGGTCCGGAGCGAAGGAAGGAAGGAAGGAAGGAAGGAAGGAAGGAAGGAAGGAAGGAAGGAGGCTATGAGGCTATCTGTAAAAATCTAACAACCTTTACCTGACAGGTGGGAAATAACAACTCTGTGTGTGTGTGTGTGTGTGTCGTGCAAGCACGTCGGAACCGAAACGTGTCGCAAAGGTTCACCGGCAAAGCTAGGCAAAGGCTCTCGTTGCTCCATGTCATTCCTGTCACCGTCGTTATGCTCTTACTCTTGGCAGACTGTTGCATCACCGCTGCCGAAAGTGATAGGGCTTTAGTTGAAGAATCCCTTCAGTCCGTTTTGACCTGGTCCGAAAGGATGAAGTATGTTGATCACATTCTGGATGTTTAAATATGTTTAAACATGCTTAAATTCCATATTAGTATACTATGATCTTGAAAGATCAAACCAGTTCCCTCTGAAAACGACATGGTCCACAGTCCACCAAGCAGCTTTGCAATCACCTCCCATCCACTCATCTTTCACCTCCCCCAACCATATCCGATCGCCCATATATGGCCATCTCATGCCCATCTCCTTTTGCCACGGTGCTTCGTTGCGCGAGCGATGATGGCCTCCTCATTGGCATAGGCACCCAGCTCAGTGGCTGCCTGTTTCGCCACGATGCTAAGCCCAGCCAACAAAGCGTCCCACGCCTTGTTCTCGGTGAGCTCTGGGCCTCTTCCCCGCGACCGCTTCCGAAGAAACCGCATGAAACGACCGGGAAAAAACAGGGCCCTGCAGTACGAGCGTTTGGCGTGTGTGGTATTGGATCGTGTATCCTTGGAGTGTGGTATTGGGGTGCAGCTAAGCAGCTAAGGTCTCACTCACTTGAATTCGTCCAATTAGCTGGACAAGCTCAAAAGCTCCACTCCCCGTCCAAAACCACCTGAAGTGGATTGCCTGGGAGCTACTTCATATAAGTTGAAGGCAGGCTCTTGACCTCTTGGTCGAACTATGGTCAAAACTTGCCCTTCACCCATTACATGGAGTGTACTGAAGGTGCTCAACCACCTGTGTTTCCAACCCCATCTGCTCCATGCCCCTCTGCCCATCACCCAATGTCACTCCAAGGCGACCATCGAGCACTGCCCACCCACCCACGTTGTATGACCCTCCAAAAACCTCCAAACACACCTCCAAGACACCTCCATGAGCCTCCACAGCCCGACTCACGCGCCGAGCGGTGCGTACCACCGCGTACCCGCTCGACGTACCCACTCGCGCCGGCAGACGGCGAGGCCTCCAGACTCCAAGAACATCTTGGTGGCACCCCGCACCGCTGTACACTGCGTGTGTCCCAGGACCAGAATCAGCTGGGTGCCCAAGCTGCTCGTGCAGAACTCGAGGCTTCCCAGCATGCTCCCTTCCTGAATGGTGAAGAACAGTGGGTTTCTGGACAGGACTTCAACTCTCCGCATCAGACGATCGTGAGAATTTCATTTCTTGCCAGCATAAACAAAACATTACAAAACTGTAGGTCACCAGGAGCAAAGTCTTTTGTCAAAGGGCGCTTACCCCTCCTGCACCATGTAGTGTGAAGGAGTCGAGGCAGAAGGGATTGGTACCACCAGCCCCGCTTTGATTTTGTAAAACAAAGTATGAAAACCTAAGTACTTGTTCTTGTTCATCAGCAGTAGGTTGGGATTACGATTTCCAAACCATGCATGCAATGTGTTTCAAATCAAAGCACGAGAAGAAACTATGGTCCTGGTCCTTAATAGACTATATAAATTATATTAGTCCTTGAATTAGAACTCAGTACAAATGCCACAAAAGCTCTTGGTACTGCTCGTTTTGCCAAATCCGAGCCTTTTTACATGATACTCATCATTCTTTGGTCCCCTTCTTGTTAGTCTGGTCTTGGGCCAAGAGGTCTCAGAAGTGGAGTGATGATCTTCAACTCCTATGCTTGACGATCAAACGGAGAAAACTTGAGAAAATTGATTCGGTGTCAAACCTCTTGCGTCGCGCGTCATAAGGACTCTCGGTGAGCCAGTGAAGTCCCAAACAAGACCTCAATGAAGTCTGTAATGTTTCTATTATCCCGTGCAATTTCCCTGGACAGAGTGCAGAGAATAACACCTCCAATCACCAACACATACCACCACAAGCGGAGGAAA